AAAAAAAACATTAAAATCAGAAATACTATACAATTAGTTCACAATTAATATTATATTTTTTTTAAGGAAATTCAAAGGCTATTGAAGTAAACAATATTAAAACAAATTTACCGAGCAAAAATTATAAAAGGAAGTTGTTTAATAATGAAAAAATCATTGAGTGAGTGGTGTTATAAAATATATATTATAATGAACTATTAGTTTCATCATAATACACAAATTATAAATTGGAAATATAATAATATAATATATTGTGTTGTTTAAATTTATGCTTTTAGCATCTCCTCGCAAGCCTGCAATTAAACAGAGTAGAATGGTGATTGATCAAGCAGGTAATTTTTAAATATGTAAATTAGAAAATAATAATTTTTGAAATTAGGTTGAAATTATTATTAAATAATACATTTTTTAATTAGATTTTCAAAAATTGGTTACAAAACAACTTGTCACATTAAGATATACAGTTGATGTTATGAATACAAGCATTGCTGCAACCTTACAAAACATTGAACAAAAAATTGATGGATATTTCAAGTATGCAGATGCTGGAAATATGAGTGTTATTACAAACGATTCATTTGATGATGGTTTCTTGTGGCCATTAGAAAATGAAGAACAACTTCAGGAATTGGAACAAACACTTAAAAATAATGATAACAACTTTAACCGTTGTCTAGTGAGTTCTAATTTATTAGAATGATAGTGTGGATGCATTTTATAAACTATTTCACCATACAGTGATTACATAATATTATGTTTTGTTTGCAGGTAAATAAAATGTCGCTTATGAACTCCAATACAGTTGAACGTAGTGTCCGCAGAATCTTAAAGTATATGTTTACTGATGCACTCCTTGAGCAATTTTCATACACAGGATTTAAAAAACCCAAAAAGTCGTTTTCAAAATTACTCTCATGCCAAATTGTTATAGGTATTATTATTTTATTCTTTAAATTTCATAATTATTATTAATTTTATAATTAACTACATTTATATTTACACTGTAGGTACATATAAATTATATAAATTATATAAATTATGCATGGTAAATAATTAATGCTAGGCATCGGTAGTTATAGAAATCCTTTATTATTATTTATTTATTATTCCCATAGAGACAAAATATTGTCTTTATGGAAATAGAAAATAGTAATTTAACTATTAAAAAAATTAAATTTAATATATGAGATGCTATATATTAAATTTAATATAAATGATTGCAATTTCCACTATAGAAAATATTATTTGTTACTTAAATCTTTCATGACTAAATTCTTTAAAGTGTATTGCTTTATTTGTTATACTTAGTAATTGTTTAGATAACATTTTACCAGCAAGTTCTTTTCATTTATTTATGTTCCTGAGAAAACACATCATTAAACACTTGATATATTGCTATTAATTCATCTTAATATTTATTAAAAACTAAAAATAATTAATTAATACATTTTGATAGAAAATTTTTAAATTTAACATATTATAATATATAATCATTCATACTATTAACTTATTTAAACTGTCTTGAAATTATTTTTCTCAATAAATATTTATTAAAAATCAAAATACATATATATATAATATTCAAATAATTCATAATAGCTTTACTTTTAACAGTTTTAAACAACTATTATAATTATTAAACTTATATTAAAAGTTTCTATACCTATTACCAATCCAACCAATACAAATATTATATAACATAAAATCTTTATGTGTTTTGTTTTAGATGCTATACGGAGTTCTTCTCTATTTAAAACCACAACACTGCAGAATATAGAAAAACCTATTAAGGCCTGGCTGGCTCAAGCAAAATTTAGAAAAATCTCCATAATATAAACTGAAAAATAATTTTAATGTAGCAGTATCTATTTTATTAGATAGATTTATTATTATATTATTAATACTTCACACATTTCAGTTTTAAGCTTTTTTAAAATTTCATAAGTATATTAATAATAATGATATTGTTCTTATTTTCATCAACTATATTTAAAACTGTTTTTATTTGATATTGTTTTTAAATTGTTTTTGTCAATACAAAAATGTACAAAATTTTATGATGACAAGAAATTAATTATTAAAAATATATTCTATATAATGATTCAAATAATGTATGTTTTTTTTTTTTAATAAGATTATATGGTAGTTACCATAAAAAATAATTATAATGTTCTACAGTTTACACGTTTAGCAGTGGCACAACCAGTGAGCAAAGGGTCGTTAAGTCCTGACACCCCCCTCCCATCACCATGGAGCTCTAGATCAATTATACCATTATAGGTACCAGATTTATTTTTTAGTTGAAATGTCTATGTTCTAATAACAAGTATGGGCAACCCTCTTTGAAATAATTCTGATTTACCACTGCATTTTAACATTTGTACAACTTGTTAGGTTACAATTATGGGTTAAGTAATTGCCCTAATGACTAATTGAAATAAAATACAATTATTCAATTTTAAAAACTGATTGAAAAATAATATTATAATAATAACTAGCTTAAAAATTACTATAATATTTGAATATAATATTACTACAATATTTGACTATAATATAAAAAAATATTATAATTTTGAACTTTTAATGATTATATAATATTACAGTAGTATTTTAAAACTTTTTTGTAATATTCTTCAAACATAGAGCAAATATTAATATTTTCATAAAAATATTATAATGACATTTTACAAATGTAAATTTGCTGACTGGGATACAATTGTTTCAATCAGTTTTGACGGTGAATTCACTATTTTATATGTTTAGCCTTTCAGTTGCTTACATTTGAAAGATACAGGGGAAAAACAGTAGCAAATTTTTTTTCTTTTGGTTTTTAAATATTTTGTCATCACAGAAAGCGCATAATATTTCTTTTCGATATCTTACCATCTATAAAATATGAAAAAAAATATTAATTATGTATAGTTTTTTGATCTTCAATTCGCTAACGTTTGACATGCATTTTCCATAATACGTTTAACATCTCTCCTTTACGCCCACATCGTCCGCGATCTGACGCAGTCGGATCGCCTACCTGGGAGGTTCAAACGCGTTTAATTGGATTTTCAGTGGTGATCGCTTGAAAAATCGAGCGCTCGATTCGACTTAAACTTTTTTGCGTACTAAACAGCACAACGCCTTCGACGTCAGGAGGTATGACAATCCGCCTGCGTCGGATTGCCCTGTCAGGTATCGATATTCGCTGGGCGATGACTGATACCCAGACACTCGATTGCCGTTTTCCTAACGAGCTGCGGGACGAAGTTCTCCGACGTTAGGTAGGCAGGTTCGAAACACGTTCCGGCGAAATCCGGGCTGTACGATAACTGACCAAATATTCGGATTTTTTGCATTTTTTTTTTTAATTTTTAAATTTTGTGTTAATTAATTGTAATTTCTGTTATCAAAAAAATGATTAAATATACATAGTTTTTTGATCTTCAACTCCCTAACGTTTGACATGCGTTGTCCATAATATGTTTAAAATCTCTCCTTTACGCCCACATCGTCCGCGATCCGACGCAGTCGGATTGCCTACCTGGCAGGTTTAAACGCGTTAAACTAGATTTTCAATGGTGATCGCTTGAAAAATCGAGCGCTCGATTCGACTTAAACTTTTATGCGTACTAAACAGCACAACGCCTTCGACGTCAGGAGGTATGACAATCCGCCGCAGGCGGATTGCCCTGTCAGGAATCGATATTCACTGGACGATGACTGATAACTAGACACTTAATTAATTTTTCGGAATGTATTTATTTATTTTCCATGCACAAAAGCACAGGGCAAGCTACGGGACAAGGTGTATTACACCTGTGAATTTAATGAAATGACCGACCACCAGACGCTCGAATTAGACTTTTATTATTTACGCGTTTAAAACGACACCGCCAAAGTGTAGAGCCACCAAATCAGAGGTACCAACATCTCAATCGTCGTTATCACTGGTTTTGCCTATTAGACTATTCTAACTGCTGTATTCTTAAGTCCTGTCTCCGACCTAGGAAATTCACTTACAGCGAGTTTCACCGGTGCTAGTATAAATATACATTCAAAGATATAATACACGATATGTATAATTCTATATATATAGCTGAATTTTGTGATTTAATTTAATATAATATTTTTAATTTATGTTTGTTAGGAGGGAATGTTGATATTACTATAATTAAATAGACTTACAAAAAAATAAGGTTATAACCTCTTTAGTTTATTTTAATATTCATTACTTATTTATAATAATGAATATTAATAATCAACTATAATAAAACATTTCATAATTATTAGAAAATCTTAATTTATATTTATTATAAACTTTGATTAATGTATCATGTTAACACGTTCTAAACTTTAAATATAAATTAAGATTTTTTTCTAATAATTATGAAATGTTTTATTATAGTTGATTATTAATATTCATTATTATAAATAAGTAATGAATATTAAAATAAACTAAAGAGAGTATAACTTTATTTTTTTGTATGTCTATTTAATTATAGTAAAATTTTTTTTTTATAAGTATTTAATTTTAATAGAATTATTATTCAAATCATTCATATTCAAATAGTAATTAGTATTTAAATTTTTATTTGTATAGAGGTTTTGAAAATGTTTAATTTCTAAAAGTACTTAATGTATATAAAAAAATTAATACATTAATTTAAGTAATTTTATTTTATTTTATTTTACAATACGGGACGAACCCTATAATACATGAATATAATAATAATAATAATAGTTTTAATAGTTTATGGAAACGTGGCTAAATATCAGAGAGAGAATGAAGGGTCAGTGTTGGCAATGCGCATAAGACGGATGATCGGTGAGTTAAGATAGTAGTTTGAGGAAGAGAAAGGTATATTAAATGGAACAGATGATCGTGTAAGGCGAGAGGCGACATTAAATGAGACACGGGATAGTGATTCAGGACTGTCAATTTTAGATGAAAGAAGATTGAATAGAAACGTCAAGTTTGCTGAATGACGACGATCGGAGAGGCTGTCTAAGGAAAAGAGGCGTTGGATTGGCGTGTAATCGTAAGTTGGACAGACTATCTTTAGTTTGTAAGCAGCTTGACGGAGGAATTATCTTTGAACCCTTTCTAACATGCTACGTGCGGAAGCGGCGGACGGGTCCCAGAGGACGGAACCATACTGAATCACTGACAAAATATCGCCGGTAAAATATCGCGTGACCAAAATATCGCAACCAAAATATCGCGAAACCATTATATCGCATGTAATAAATATCGCCAGTATATATACCGCCAGCATGAAATATAGCAGTAATTTCATTATAAATAAATAATATATTTCAAGCATATAATATTGTTATATTAATATTAGTAGAATTGATAAAATTGATAAAAATATGTATAATATAATTTAATAAAATTGATATAAGTATTAAAAAAAAAATTATGTATGTATATTAATTAATGGAAGTATATATTCAATGAAATACCTTGAAGATAATCTTCAAACTCTCGATTATGATAATCTGCTACTATTTTCTTTACTCGTTCAGCCCAACTGACTGTCTTGTTCTTTTTATTTGGCGTGTTTGGATTTCCTACTATACTTTGACTTATTTTAATTTCCGTTAGGTTTTGTTGACGTCTCAAACCATTTATTAATTTATAGATTGAAGGATGTTGAGCAGAAAGTAAATGAGCAAATCCGTTGTTAAATCCTTCACAAATGTTGTTTGTTTTATCCCAGTCACTTTGTATTGCCTCATAAACATTCCATAGAGGTATAGGAAATAACGGAGGATATCTTCGCCCTCGTTTTTTAGTACCAATCCAAGTCTCCTCAAAGTATGTTAGGAAAGGAAAAATAATTTGATTATTTTTAACAAAAAAATCTAATTTTAATATTTTTTCATAAGCATTACAAACATCTGATGGTGGTATAAAAGCCAGAGAAGCAAAATAACGAATTTTCGAAGAGAAAATTATATTTTCCTTGTACAACTTTTGCATTTCTGGAATTGTTTGTATTTTTTTTTTTTCCAAATAGCTTTCATTAGATGAAAGTAGCAACCCCGTTGTTTAGTAGTTGGAAAACACTTACTGTATGATTTTCTAGAAGCCATTTCGAAATCTGTCATGATAGACTCTGGTTCGAACTCTCCAAGTTCATCAGCTAGAAAATTAAACAAAAGATCGTAAGCTTGTTCTGTTCTGTGAGTCTGATACTGTATATCAATGGAAATATTGATCCGTCATTTAATTTTCCGTGAATTACAAAAAACTGATTAAAAAGTGGCGGAGCAGATTTAAATGTTCCATCCGCATTACCGGCGATATTCTGTCGGGGTACCAACCATACTCAAGGATGGTACGAACTTGGGAGCAGAAATGAATTTTTAGAGGGGAGAGTAAGTGAAAGTCTGAAGAGACACGGTTAATGAAACCTAGCAGTTTAAGAGCCTTACAACATATAATCTGAATATGCATATAAGGGCACAGGTTCCGTGTGAGAGTAAATCCTAAATCCTTTACATAGTTATTACAGGTTGTTAAGGTGGTATTGTTTACGGAGTAAATATGCTCGATTACAGCATTAATACGACTAAAAGTCATTACTGAACATTTAGCTATATTAAGGGCTACCCCCAAAGATTCACCCCACGCAACTAATTGCTGAAGGTCGTTTTGAAGAAGGTGACAGTCAGAGATGGATTTTATACGGAAAAAGATTTTTATATCATCAGCAAAGATAAGAAGTTTGGCATGCTAGAGGACGGAGATTGCTGAGTTTACGAATAAGGCAAACAAAAGTGGAGAAAGAACAGCACCTTGTAGAACACCTGAGGAGGGGGTAAAGCGGTCCGAAGAGGTGGAATCAACAGTTACCCATTGGATCCTACTTGTAATGTATGAGCGAAACCAGGAAAGTAGTGGTTCGTCGATTCCTATAGAGTCTAGAGTCAACATATGATGATTATGATCAACACGATCGAAAGCCTTGGAGAAATCTGTGTAGATTACATCTACTTGGCAGTTATCGCGAAAAGAATCATATATATATGAATGTAGACTAAAGTTACAAGTAATAGTTGATCTACCAGGACGGAAGCCATGCTGCACATCAATTAGGATATGATTCAAGGGAGAACGATTCGAATTAAGAACAAGTTTCAAATATTATGGATAAATGAGGGAGGATAGTTATAAGACGATAGTTTGAAACATCAGCTGAATCACCAGACTTAAGTATGGGTCTAATAGAGCCAAGTTTAAGTGCAGACGGAAAAATACCCGAGTCAATAGAACGTCTAAACAATAACCATAACGATTCTGCAAGAACAGATCGAAGTTGTACAAGAAATCACCCTGGATACCATCAAGACCTACAGACTTAATATTTCGAAGGGAACGTAAGCATTTGTAGACGTCACTGATCGAAAAATAGGCATTAGACGGGAGCGGAAAAAGGCAGATAGGATGTAATGTTTGGGATGGAGTCGGTAAGGCTGGGTGAACACGGAGGAAAAATATGCAGCAAAAAGGTTAGCAGTATCGGGAAGAGATTTACTTTTTTTACCATGTAGGGAGACACATGAAGGTATCGATTGAGAAGAGCGGGTTTTTCTAATAAAACTCCAAAAGTATTGTGGGTTGTGTAATAGGGAGGATTCGGTATGTGAGACAAAATTGCGGTAGCATTGTTTGGAAATGAATTTAAATTTAGCGCGAAGAAGTGAAAAATGCTTGTAATCTGATAATAGTTGGGATGACTTAAATTTGGCATGAGCGCGAAACTTAGCAAACACTAGTTCTTTGAGTTCCTTAGTGTACCAAGACGGGAAAGTGGAGGGACGGAAAGAGATTTTAGGAACAAAAGTTAAAATTGAATAATGGAGAGCATCAAGGAAGACAGACATGGAATCATCAGGGGAGTATGACCGAAAGGTACTTTTCCAATTGAAATAGTTAAAGAAATTAGTGATCTACATGTAATCAGCCTTATTAAAGTTATAAAATGATTTGAGGGAAGCAGATTGAGGAGCATGAATGGGGAGATTTATAGAGAGTGAGAGAGGTGGATGATACGTGTCAGCAGGCACGGCAGGGTCAAGAGCATGTTTAACAGTTATGGAGTTAAGGTTAGAGAATATGAGAGTGGTGAAAATTTAATATGTAGTTATGTTGGAAGAATCCGTGAATGGCGAGTCTTTCAGGAATGGCAGTATATTTAAAGATTGTTTGCGATAGGAAACATAGGCCATGTGCATCATTTGACCATGAAATAAATGGAAGATTATAATCACCAGTGAGGTTAAAACTATGGTTTGGGTAGTTTTGAACAATAAAATCAATTGTATTTAGATGAGTAGTATAAAGCTCAATGGGGGACGAAGGTGGTATATAAACACTGCAAATTATAATATTTAAGGAGTTATGAGAGAATCGGACAAATAATTGCTCAACATTATTATATGTTATAATAAGGGGGGAAGAATCTATGTCTTTACGAACAGCTACTAACACACCACCACCGCGATTAAATGAGCTGGTTTGTAGAGACCTGTCGCATCTATATATATTGTAATTATCAAGACCAAGCTCAGAAGAGTAAAAACTATTAGAGAGCCAAGTTTCCGTAAAAGCAATAAAGAAATAGATAAAACATGAAGTATTACAATTAAAATTTACAAGTTTAGTACGAAGGCCGCGACAATTCTGGTAGAATCCATTGATGTTGCATGTAATGGGGGTATTGGCGATGTTTATTGTTGAAGACGATGTTGAACTCGAATGTCGTTTTTTTGAACAGGAAATTATGCACAGAGATCCGTTTTTGAACGTGATGGTTAGGTTATTTTCGCCTGCAGCAACTCGACGATCTAACTCAAGGTGACAAGTGCGAAGTTGTTGACGTTCAAGTAAAGTTTTGTCACGTACAATGCTAGTAAGTGGTAGAAGAGACAAATTTTGGATTTTAGCTTGACGTTAGGACGATAGAACAGCAGAAGCAGCTTCACAGGAGCCAAAAATAACTTTTAGAGGTCGAGTTGAAGTTGAGGTTGGTTTACCTAGTCGAAACGATTTGAAATCAGAGTTTAAATCGGTAGAGAGTTTAGAAAATATATCGCGTACCGAGACCTTATCATCATTGATTTTAGTAGGGTGATCGCTCGACGTGGATTCAGGTAGACCATACATAATGACATTGAGTTTGCATCGATCCCGCTCAGTAAATTCTTGTAAGACATCTGAAATTTGGGTGGATGGGATAACTTGTCTTTATTAAATAATATAAGTTATTAAGGTTAATAATAACTTAAGCACGTGCTCGTTACGTGTCTAGAAAAAAAATCTTCGCATATGTCTATGAGTCAATTGAATATAATAAGAGAACAAGCTTCAATCAGAAGGCATAATACGGAAATTCTGAAAATAGGTCTTTAAAATAGTATCAGAAAGTTTTAGTAGACATACTTTTAAATTCCAGTATAGTCAATGCGTCATGTAGATACATGATACAATATTGTTTAACATTATTTTATATCTTATTGTATTAAAAAATACTTTATTATAAAAACTTGTTATTTTTTTTTTATTATGCTTTATGTAATTCCAACAAATAATTAATAAATTGTTATATTTTTTTTTCTTTTCATCAGTTTCATTAAATTATCTATTCATTTATAAATGGTGTATGTAAGTTTCCTAATATGATGGTAAAAATAAAATTATTAAGACTGCAATGAAAAACAGCCTTCTAGAACAATAAAACTTTTTAAGATTTTGTTTTTTCGTTTTTTTTTATGTAATTTGAAAAATAATAACCGTCAATACAAAGAATTTTCAATAGTTTTTTCAAATGTATTCAAACTTACAGATTCTACTAAATAGTATTTTCGAATATATATGCTTATTCCATTTTCAGGTTATTTTATCGATCAAATGATAATCATTTTTAGAAAAAATATTAAAAGAGTTTCAATAAGTATTATTTGATAATGATTGAGCAAAAATAGGAATGAAATTTCAATCAAAAAACATAAGACTAAAGTGACTTTTACACAGAAGTAACGGTACTTAAAATGTGGAAAATTTTTTCAAATAGAATTAGAAAAGAAGTAAAACCAACAACAATAACCATTGAATTCTTAAATTTTGTGATGAAGGCTTATTCCCAAATATATACAAGTTGTTAAACATTGCATGTGTTTTTACTGTGACAACAAATACTTGTTTTTTATTTATAAAAAGATTCAAAACTAACTGGTGAGATTTAATAGACTCAATGGTATAGCCATGTTAATTATCCACCGAGAAAGAACTTTTAACTCCTGAAGATATTTTTGAACGGCTTATTAAAAAAATTAAAGACTGACATTTTGAACTATAAAAAAAATTTTAAATATATTAATTGTAATGTTTGTCGCTTAATTTAATTTTAAGTGTACTTATACTTATATTATACCGATTAATTTAAATAATTAAAGGGTTTAAGAATCAAAGTGTTTGTTGTTTTTAATGATATTGAATCGTTTTTTTATTTTATCAATATATTTGAATCGCTCTGAAGTAGGAAATACCCGGTCAATGCAAAAAATAAACATTTTGTTCAATAGACACAAGCACTACCTAATGTTTATACTCAACCTGTAACATAATATATACATATTTTAAATTCCATAACATAAAATAATAATAATGAGGTTGAATTGATTACTCTCATAACTATGATAATATTAATTTCATTCAATGTAATCAAGAGTATAATAGTGGCGTACCCAACCATCAGGTAAATATAATCTGTGAATTGTTATACTTAACAATATACAGAATTTGTAGTTTTGCATTTTTAGGAAATCAATAAATGTATTAGAACATATTTATCAATACGTAGATTTCTTACAATAACGTTATCACATTATATTCTATGCTTAATTGGAGGAGTAACCGCACGACTCAGAAAATAAAAGAACATTTTTAAAACTTTCACATAACAAAGTATGTTCGAGCTGTTTTTGTCAAATTAAGTTTTAAATTTGACTCTTGTAACATCATATATATATATTAATAAAATAACATAAAAGTTGTGTTTTATTATTTGGTGAATTTTTTTTTGGATTAATATGTTAATTTAAACTTATTTAGTTACTTCTCTTAGCTTTGTATGACAATTTATGAGCCTGAAGTAGATAATGATTGAGGAGTACGCGTCTTAATGATTATGTACTACCAACACAATCGTTCCACAGGTCAAATAGAGTTTTGAAGACAGTTATTTTTGTCTAAGTCAGGGATGGGCAACTCACAGTTACTATAGGGCCAATTTTTAGAAATTTAAAATATAGCGGGCCAGAGCATAGAAAGCAAAAAAAAAAAAAAAGGTCATTCAAAATATACATTTTAAATAGCATTTATTTTGTTTATAATGAAATAGGACATAGGTAATACAAAAAGCGTTATTGAAAATAATTTAATTAAATATTTAAATATAAATAGTTATTTGCAGTTTAGTGAGAGTTTTGAGGATGTGTGGCTTCTAATGACAACGCGGCAAAATCGACTTCTATTTCGGACGAAGAAACACGAAGTAGGTGACTTAATGTTTCATCTGTAAGTCGATTTCTATGTTTTGATTTAATATGTTTCATGTTTGAAAATGTACATTCACAAATGTAAGTAGTTCCAAACATGGATAACATTTTTAATGCGAACTCTCGTAAAAGTGGATATTTTAGAGTAGGTAATTTTTTCCAAAAGCTTATGTCAATCTCTTTTGTAGATAATAATGATGGATCTGTTTGCAACTCACACAATTCTAATTGAAGTTCAGCATCTTGCTTTTCAATTTCAACTACCATTGGATTATTAAACAAATTTATTTGAGGGCGCATAAGTTCAACTTCTTCAAATCGTCTTTCGAATTCTACAGTTAATTCATCCAAGTGGGTAATGCATTGTTCAAAATTAAACTCATTGTTAAATTCTATTTTTATAACTTCACAACACGGAAAATGTACTAGTTTTTTTTCAACGACTAAATTTTTAAAAACTACCAACTTTTTTCTGAATCCATCTAAAAATCCAATAATTTGAGAAATTGTTTGTTTCTTACCTTGAAGTTGTAAATTTAATTTATTTAAATGTTGAGAAATATCAGTTAAAAATGCCAATGAACATAGAAATTGTTTATCAACCATTTGGTTTTTCAAATACGTAGTGTCAGTTTTAATATTCGTTGTAAGAAACTCAAGTATTTCTTTTCTCAAAACAAAAAAACGTTCGAGACACTTTCCACGACTTAACCAGCGTACATCCGTGTGTAATAGTAAATCACCATACTCACAATCAAGTTCCTCCAAATATGTAATAAAATTACGGTGGTTTAAACTACGGTTGCCTCCTCTAATAAGATTAGTAATTTTAAATACAGTATTCATAACTCCGTCAAGCTTCATTATTTTGCCACACAACGCTTCCTGATGAATGATACAATGTATAGCAGGAACATTAACGTTAGATTTGCGTAATAAACCAACAAAACCAATATTTTTGCCAACCATAGCTTTGGCACCATCTGTCACAATCGATGACATTTTTTTGAATCCACCAAATGGTTCAATCGCATTTTTTACTGCATTAAATATATCACTTCCTTTGGTAGTTCCATGCAAGGAATATAATTCTAATAGCTCTTCATACACTTCAAACTGTGGAGATATAACTCTAACAAATATCAAAAGTTGACTTACATCTGAAACATCTGTGCTTTCGTCCAGTGCAATCGAAAAATATGCACAATCCGTCATAATAGTTTGCAATGTCTTACGAATGGCACTATCAGTGTCAGCTATACGTCGTGTCACTGTGCGTCTTGAAAGTGATATTTTTTCAAATTCACTGGCAATTTTGTTTTCGTTAATTGATTTAGCCATTTTTATCGCACAGTTTTGAACAAATTCACCATCACTCAACGATTTTTTAGATTTTGCTATTTCGTTAGAAATTATATATGAAGCCAATAAACTTGATCGTTGTGAAGTTGTTGCTTTTGTCATCACATTTTGTTGTGATTGAAGTTTTCTTTTGAGATCAATTACAACACTCTCTCTTGCATCACCAATGTATTTTTCATATTTGGACAAATGATTTGTCATGTAATGTCTTTTTAAATTATATTCTTTTAAGACCGCAATAACGCTTAAACAAACTAGACATTGAGGTTTTTTTTGTTTGTTAATAATAAATAAATATTCATTCTCTCATGAGGTATTAAAAGTTCTATTTTCATCATCAATTTTACGCTTTTTTGCGGACATTATTAGGCACTACAAAAAACGAAAACAATAAATTCAACGACAGCACGACACGAACGATACGAAGAAACTGATATAATTAAATAGATCGGTACAAACAGCTATGGTTAAAATCTATACGTATCCATACGTGTGTATATACCTACTATAACTATATTGTGACATTTATACATTTAACAATGTTCAATACCAGATAACAATTATTATATCGATAAGAGACTAGATAAACTATACAACATACTAGACATTATAGATTATATAGAATTATATACGATAAGTTTAAATGTATACCTATACCTAATCAATTTGAAAATGTAGCAGAGGCCAGATAAAAAGGCTCATGGGCCGGATGCACCTGGTCTACTAT